TTTTCAAAAATCAACAATTTTTATAATTGAACCAGTTTCCGTAGGACTTTAATGGTTTAGTATGTTCATTAAGTACTTTATCGTTATATCAAGCAAATTGTCTAATTGTAATTTTAACAAACGTCAAAAAAACTACTCATTTTATCAAACTTTGATGAATTTTTAAAATTAAACTACTTGTCGTAAGGCCGTAATATTTCAGTAAGTTCTATAAGACTATGATATATATCGCCAAAAAAGTTCCATGAAAATTGGCTTAAATTTGTTTTTCAACAGTTAATTACAAGAAAACGTAGGCCTGTTTCTGCCCTGTAGATTTACACCTAAACTAATCAGTATCATTCCCAACTAATATCTTTCGAACAGTTTTTGATTTTTTAAAATCGATCCGGTAGTATGAGCTTAATGATAACGAAAAGTTTAACACTTTTCCAAATTACAAAGAAACGGCTTAGCCGATCGCTGCACAAAACTGAAAAACGCTAGTCGTCATCGAAATATATCAAAAGGCTTTTAAATTTTTGAAATCGGTCCAGCCGTTTTTGAGAAAACATCGATTTACGGCAAAAGATCTGTTCACATACACACGACATACATACTTTTACCAAATTTGGTCTCATTCGATTCAGAATGGCTTGAAACGTCAAGAAAACATAAAATTAGCGCGCGAATGGATTTTTTTGATAAAAACATAAACTTCTCCTTCGGGAAGTTAATTAATTTTTTTATATAATTAATAACAATCAGAACTCAATCTTATAAGCTTGTTTTAATATCTTAATATTGTGGTTTTAGAAGGCAAGCCGACGGTGTTGGCCGATCTTTTTTTTGATGAATTTAATATTGGAATACCTTTGATGGTGATGCTTTTTATTGGATGCAGTATCGATTCCAGCTACATTTACGCGGAATCATATTAATATCTATATTTTCGTGAAACCGATGTCACCATTGCTTTATAACAGGCTATCCGAAAAGGCAAAAGAAATTCTGGTTGCTTATTTACTCTTCATTTTAATAATATTGGAAGGCATATTATATAATGTAAGCCGTAACTATCTGGGATGTTTCGAATGTGTCCTCATATTAAAATACTTGGAATGTTACAAATCGAGAGTTCATCGAGTATCCTCGATGCCTCATGAATTTTAATCAGCGGGTTAGTTTGTGAGACTCATTTTGCTATAAATTGACGTCAGAAGGACGTCTATCTGTGCAGCGTTTTATTGAGCAATTCGCATGCAGCGGAAGTCGATGTTGTGCAACTTATAAATTTGCTTTACATTGATATTCAAGCTAAGCAATTGCCAATTCTTAAGCTAAACTAGCTGTAAGTGGAATTCTGTCTTAAGGCAATTAAGGCATCGTGCCTTAAGGCAAATTGCTGGAACTTCCCGTACCAAAAATTATTATTTTTTAAAAACGATTAACATTTTTGAAAAAAATATACTTTGAAAAAATAAGATTTTTGACAAACAATTAGACTAAAAATTCCTTTATTTGAAAAAAAAAAAAATTTTTAATTTTTTTTTTTTTAATTTTTTTTTTTTGAAAAAAAAATGTTTTCTTTATTTTGACATATTTTGAAAGATCTAAACTTTTTTTCAAAGCAATCGTACTGCTTTAACTGTATAAAGACAAAATATCAAACCGCGTAAGCGCCGCATCGACGTCTAACGCGTAAACATTGGTACGGAACCCATAGTAATGTAAACAAAATTTATACTTATTGTTAAAATCTCTATAAAATATCTGATAATTTGATGTGCATATGTCTAATGATTATTATTTTTGACCGCCAAATGGCATTTTTTTTTACTTTTTTCATTAGATCTCCGAAACCGCTAGACCTGCCTTTATGAAAATTTGATCGGTTCTTCACCTTGTCAATACAAGTAAAATATTTTTTGAATTATTAAAATCGGAAGCTCCGTTCTCTTAAAAACTGAGTTACCGTTATCGTCACTTTTTGCCCCGTATCTTCGGAACGGCTAGACCTGACTTCGCCAAAAACTAATCAGCACGTCTCCTTATCAATACGAATCGAATGTTTTTTGAATTATTCAAATCGGTTGATCGGTGTTCCCGAAATCGTCGACGAAAATTTGTATCCGCACATACATACACACACGCGCACACACACACACACACACACACATACATCCATTTTTTCTAAGGTATGCCAAAATATTCAGAAACCTTTGAAATGTCGAGAAATGCAAAAATTTTCATTTTCGATTTTTTTGCGATTACTATAACTTGCCCTACGGGAAATTAATAATTTCAAATTAAGCAATAATCCCATTAGAAAGGAGGTTTATAGTCACAGTTATACAAATAAACTGAGGTTGACTGATCATCCTAATAGCCTACCATAAAGTGACCATACGTCCCGGTTTGACCGGGACAATCTCGGATTTTCACCTTGTGTCCCGGTTTTTTCCAAAAGCAAAATTAATCCCGGATTTAGATCTTTTGTCCTGGATTGTCTCGGGTTTTAAAAAAATATAGATTTAAATTGATTTTTCGCAATTATTAATAAAAATACAACTACCCATCAAATATCAGGGAATGATATACATATATTATGTTACAAGACGAGTATGCTTATGTGAAATAATGCTTATATGAAACAATTCGAAGTAGTTTGAACAGAATTTTATACAAGGCTCAAACTCAAAACAAATGTTACACATTGAAAAATATAACATATAATATAACATCATAGATAAATCAGAAGTATAACATATAATCGAATAATAAAGTTCTTAAAACTTTATTTAATTTTTTAAACTAAATGCTGTAATTGAACAAAATTGGTTAATGAAAAAAAATGTATTCTTAAATAGGATTTGTTATATTAAAATCATATTTAAGTTATTTAGCATAAGCTCTGCCCCCCCCCTCTTCCGTCTTGGATTATTATAAATAAAAATTGCCGTCCTGGTTTTGACTTTAAAAAATTTAGTCACCTTACTACTAAGGAGTTGATAGGTAAATTTCAATAAAAGAAAAATTTAAAGAAAATCTTAAAATAATTCTAAATCTTTACACTTATTTTAATACTTTTAAAAAGCAGAAAGGAGGTTGTTTTTGAAACTTTTTTTATACTTTAATGTTTTAGATGAATTGTCAAACAAATATTAAAAAAGGCAATAATTATAAGGCCTTAATTACTATAAGGTATTAATAATTGTTACAATCAAGCTGTTCAAGGTGATTTTAGTTCTGTGGAATGCACTAAGTTTTATTTTTTTGCTCGTAAATTTTATAAATACAGTAAAATCTCATTAAGACGATTTTACAATAACCCCACTAAAAGAGTCTTAAGCAAAAAAGCGTATTGTGCGGGATAAAGTGTAAAGACGATATATTTTAAAGAAACCTACGTAGAGTAAGGTATTATAAGGAAAATCGAGTAAACCATAATCGTCTTAACGAAGTTCTACCGCAATTTGAAACAAAATTAATTACAAGATGCTTTTCGATTGACTGTTAAAATCTGATCCCTTTATATAAATAATATCATTCATTTAGTAAAATTTAGAATTTGTATTTTAATGTTAAACAGAAGTGCACCATCGTCCAACTTATGTTTTATGTTTATTTTAACAAATTTGCTGAAAGAATGATCTCTTAGAAATGTTAGAAATATGTTATAAATATTTTAGAAATATGTTAGATATATGATCTCAAAAAATAGAGCAAACTAAATGATTATATGATTATATTGAGAAAGTTTACAAATATATTATATCTGTCATCTCAGTGAAAAAGGGCTCGCCCGTAGGTAAGCGGTTAAGAGCGATGAGATCTGAATCAGAGGTCCCGGGTTCGATACCCACTTCGAGCAGCTTGTTGTCAGGCAGCAGTGACAACGATTATCACTTAGAAATATAGATAGTAACATGTTTCCAAGTGAAAATAGCCCTAACCCGGCATTGCTGCACCAATAAAAAAAAACAATAAACACCAATAAATAATATATCATATAGAGATATGACAACTGATTGGGTTGCCATCTGTCAAATAGACCAGTATTGAGTCAAATCAGCTAAATAATTTAAAAAAAAAATCCAAGTGAATAAGTGGTTGAGTCAATTTTCACTATTTTGCAAAACTTGATTTGAAAGTACTATTACTCGTGTAATATGGCGTATTTGAAATCATTTGTTTAAATTTTATATAAAGTGCTTCAATAACTTTTGTTCATAACAGATAGTTTTTCAATTTGATAACTATTTTCAAAAAAAAATTAGTGGGGTGTATGGCATCGTAGCTTAAGGCAAATTGCTGGAACTTTCCGTACCGTAACGAAATGTTCGAGGAATACTGAATGTTTTCAAATAGATTATTATAAATATTGTAACATTGTCAATTTATAATAATTATATAAACTGAATTTATCTCCGTAACTGCTGGACCTGCCTTTGCCAAAAACTAATCAGCACATCTCCCTATCATTAGGAATCGAATCTTTTTTGAACCATTAGAATCGGTTGATCCGTGCGCCCGAAAACGTGGACGTAAAATTGTATCCATACATACATACACACACACACATACACACACATATCCATTTTTTCTGAGGTATGCCAAAATATTCAGAAACCCTCAAAACGTCGAGAAATGTAAAAATTTTTAATTTCGATTTTCGGCCTATTACAATAACTTACCCTACGGGAAGTTAACTAGTTGATACCGCGATTTAAAACATTTTTGCCAATATTTAGCCTAACCACCTATTCACTGGGATAGCAGATCAGATATAGTTTATATTTGTTGAAATATCTTATTTGGCTTTAATTAATAACTGATATTATCATTGTCAAATTGGTATATTCCTACTATACTGTATACAATGCTTTTTAATCAAAGATTTGTATTTAATTTCGAATTGTTTTTATATTTTGTCTATTTTCAAAATAGTTGAAACTGACATGAGCATTTGGCGTGTATTTTTGCTATATAAATTTTAAACCATGGTTTTTGAACAAATATCAGTAATACATTTCAGCATTAGCAACATTGTCATCAGCTTGTCCCGCGCCATTTCCAACCGCCTCATCTTCCTCTTCTTCAAGACATCGCAGATTGCTAAGTTCAGCCATGAGTTCCTCTTTGCGCAATTTGGCAGCTTCGATTTCCGCCTTGATGACGTCTATATCATCTCCACCTTTTCCTCCCAAATTTTTCCGCACGTAGTCCAGAGCATTTTCTGGTTTTTCGAGCTCCTCGTACAATTCCACCAGAACACGAGTAAGGGCATCCATTATACCAGATTGCTCCAGATATTTTCGAAATTCTTCGCGCTTTGAGTCAACTGGTTTGTAGTTAGACATTTTTGTAAGAAAATTCGGAACGAAATTATTTTATTTTTATAATGCACTTTGACGCTCTATTATTGTTAATCTTGGTTATGATTTTTATAAATAAATGAAGTTTTGCTCGTGCTTTGTTTCATTGAAATTGACATAAGCAATGACATTAATGCTTGATTTTATTTACAGATGAAACTAATTTTATATAATGTTTTTCCTAACGTATTGTGAGATTAAATTTACATACTTTATCCAAATGATGAGACGCATGTTACACATTTCAATATCATACATCTATTGGCTTGTTGGTAGATTTTCTTCAATAACTTACGATTTTCATCAGTAAAATAATTTTCCATAATTTACAAGAAAATATTTTCATTGTAATTAATTAATTATATTATTGAACCTAAGATTTAATTAACACATTATTTTAAGCATCAACATCATTTTAAAATAAATCGAAATTAAGACAGCGAAATTTGTGTATGTTAATGTGCAGGTATTTTATAAAATTTAGTTTTTTTATTTACTCACAAGATTGTTAGTTCAAATAAAACATTATCCCTTTTTTGTAATTTCTATATTAATTACTACATTAATAATAATAATAATTTCTATATTAATTGCTTGCAATGCGTATAATTTTTTTATGCTTTGTTTTACTTTTGTTTGTGCAAGTCTGTGAATGTTTCAAGTGTTATAATGTAGAATTTTATTGCGGTTATAATATAATTAGTATATTTTGAAGCCAAATAAAATATATTAAGAAATAATACGATAAAGTTCCAAGTTGCAAAAAAAAAAACAATGTGTTTTCTGACTCTAGTAAAGGGTCCGAAAAATTATAGAGATACTCTTTAGACAGTCTTTTTGCGTACTTTTTCTATTATATCTTGTCAGTTATATTTTGAATATGGAAGTTATGATTTTTTGGTAATTATTTTTACTATGTGCGTATGCATGTATTTTTATAAATGAAAATAATTTATGTAATGAAATAAAAATCTTTGAAAATAATTCCAGATATTGACGTTATACTAATTCACTCGCGATTATTTATTATAGACCTTATACTACCTATATATAAGGTCTATGTTATTTATACATAAATAACCGTTTACCTAAAAAATAATGATTATTATTTATTTAATTTCTCTTCATACCAAAATCCATATACATCAATATGCGCGATGTTAAATGTAGAACTGCTTTAAATAAAATGGCGAGTCTTAATTCACACACTATATTGGAAATTGATGTCTTTTAAACGGTATAACAAATTCAGGAGAAATTAATATATTTTATAGTATCCGCGGTAAAAGTACAATATTACCTTGAATTTTTTTCAACCAAAATCTTATATTTATATTATTTTAATTTCTAGCACATCTCAGCAGCTTTTTGTCAATAATATTGCAGACATTTCATTTTTCTTATTCATAATCATTTAAAAAATGCTCTTTAAAATAACGCTGGCTGTATAGTGCAGTAAACGGAGCGTTTTAGGTCTGAATTTTTTTACTGTGCTCCGAATTGAATGAAATTTTGGAATTAGGTTCATCTAACCCTCAAGTTCAAAAGTGAAAACAATTCGGATTGCGCCATCACTCCCCGGGGGGATGACACCCCCTCTCAATTGTGTAATTACATTTTTTTAAATAACGTCGGAAATCGATAGGAGAACTAATTATAAGAAAAAAATGTCTCTTATAGTTTTTCAAAAAAACTAATACTTTTCAAGTTACTGTCCACTAAAGATTCATATATTTTTGGCGTTTTTCTTCGTTTTTTTGCAAATTTCTCCTAAAATATACATTTTAACGAAAATCATGTAATGAACAAAATATTGTCAATAAAAATCTTAATAAATCGGTATTAGATAAAGTGTTCTACGAAAAATATTAAGCAAGATTTGAAAGAGCAAAGTCGTTTTTTATTTCGTTCAAGATTTAATTGTTGTATTTAAAGCCATCTAGTGTCGAGGTTTTACATTTTATGAATTTCGGTAAAATTGGGTTTTATAGTGCTCAACATAAGCTTTAAAATGAGTGCTGTTACAAGTTTTTTGCGTGTAAAATGAGTGAGCTATCATGCAAATAAGAAGCATATACGAAGTTTTTTTCTTTTAAATCATATGGTTTAATGAGCGCCATTTCCACCAGAAATAAAGTAATTCACATTCCATCTAGAATTCACTTCATTATAGACATCTTGATGGATTCTAGCAGATTCACTACTTTAGTACAAATTATTTTCAGAAAATTCACGATTTTATAAAAACTTTTTTTTCCATTCATAAAATGAAATTCATAAAATGTAAAACCTCGACACTAGATGGCTTTAAATACAACAATTAAATCTTGAACGAAATAAAAAACGACTTTGCTCTTTCAAATCTTGCTTAATATTTTTTCTAGAACACTTTATGTAATATCGATTTATTAAAATTTTTATTGACATTATTTTGTTCATTACATGATTTTCGTTAAAATGTATATTTTAGGAGATACTTGCAAAAAACGAAGAAAAACGCCGAAAATATATGAATCTTTAGTGGCCAGTCCCCCCGGGGGGTGATCGCGCAACCCGAATTGTTTTCACTTTTGAACTTGAGGGTAAGATGAACCTAATTCCAAAATTTCATTCAATTCGGAGCACAGTAAAAAAATTCAGAGGTTATACCCTTTTTTCCTCTCCGTTTACTGCACTAGTAGTATTATTTCAATATATTTATATTACATTATTAATTCGTAATTAATTAACTACTGATTTTAATATTTCAGATGTTGAAGAGATTTCAACAAGACTAGCTTTGATAAGTGCAGCTAGTGCCTCATTGTCTGATTGTACTCATCCTAATAATATCGTGTCGACGACCCCCGATTCTATCCAAGATGGAAATTGTTCGAATTTAGAACAGTTATTAGGTAAACTAGTACTTTTTAATAATTAACACAAATCAAAGTAGTAAACTACAATGATTTTTATCTTGAGTTGGATATTTATTCATAAAAATTTTAGCCGGAAAATCTACATCAAGACATCCTGGACGAGTTAACATCTATATAGAAGATAATGAAGCATAGTGAAAGACATTTAAATCGAAAATAAGTACAAAATCTCGTGTTGTAAGGTGCAAAATAATATAGTTTATAATTTTAAAAATTATTTTATACATAATTAGATTCTACTTGTATTTTGATTGATTGATAATTCCTTAACTTAATGAAAATTTTATAATATAATTCATATTTATTGATAAATGTTGTTTTATTGTTAGAATCTAAAGTTTGGATGTTATTTATGTAAAAATATCGTTTTATAATATTTGTAGTATTCGTTAGAAATATCTGTATGTTTGTGCTTCTTATGCGACTTTTATTGGTTTCTGAATTAATTGCGAATAAATAATTCCTGAAATGTGAAAGTAGAAGTGAAATAAATCTGTACTGATATGATTTCTTTCAAATAGTAATTTTGATTCAAAAGGGCGAACTGCAAATGTCCTCGTAAATTTGATTAGTTATTTGATTTATTATTCAACATATTTTATCTACATATATTAATTTTGAGCTTTTGATTTCCTGTACATATTTCTTCTATTGCAGGTAAACTTCAATCATCTACATCCATTCTCCACTCAGCCTTTTCAAATCTTTCTCTTTATTTTAGAATTGTGATCTGTAGAGTACTTTGTTCTCCCATTATTCTTAGTACTTTTGTAATTTTATAGATTTATTTTGATGTTTTACATTTTAAAACTCACCTAATTGCCTTTGTCATTTTTTCTCAGAATCAATATCCAAAATCCAGACAGGTAGCACCATGTAGCACTGATTACAATTTATATCTCAAGTGAAAATGCTGGTCAAGTACTGATTTCTACCGCTAACTTTGGGGTCTTAACACTTCTCTGGTAGTCTGGTCCATACTATATTGTCATATCGATGTTATTTTGACGATTTTATGATTCGGTTACTATTTCAGGCTAAACATTCTTTTTTAATCTCACTTTTCTAATCCCTTATCACTTTTATTGATTCTTCCTATCTTTCAACTCTTTGCATAGAATTCTAAGCATTTTATTGAAAATCTCGATTCTTTCTACGCCGTTCGTTAGGGCTGTCTAATATAATAAATTTAGCCGTATTTACTATTTCAAATTTGATAAACATGTAATTAGCAGCTATGACATATTGACTGCTGAGCTTGAATTTATTTCATGATATTATGATATATACGCCAATAATTTTAGAAAATTAAAACTGCTATAGATTAAACATAACATAACTATTGTAATAGTGAGAGACCCAATTAACTTTCTGAAGAAGAAATTTGTTTTCGCGAAAAAATCCGATTATCTAATTTTATGTTCTCGACGTTTCAATTTTGAATCGATTGAGAGCAAAATTGGATTGGGAGTTGCATTGGTTACATTTTAGAAAACGGTCGGTTCGTTTGAAATGTTGAAAAAGAAAGTTTGACGATTTGCATGAAACTTTGTACAACGATAGATTTTGTAGTCTAATTTAACATAGTGAAATATTATACGCCCACGGTAAGCAATTGAATTATAAAATTCATCAAAGTTCAATCTGTAGTCTTTCGTAATAAATTTTATTGATAGAACACGAAATAGATGAAAAAAACTAGCTGTAAGTGGAATTCTGTCTTAAGGCAATTAAGGCATCGTGCCTTAAGGCAAATTGCTGAAACTTCCCGTACCAAAAAATTATTATTTTTTTAAAAACAATTAACATTTTTGAAAAAATTTTACTTCCAAAAAATTAGATTTTTGAGAAACTATAAATTTGACAAAAAATTACTTTTTTTAAAACAAATTTTTTTTTTGAAAACAAAATTTTTTTGAAAAGAAAAATTTTTTTGAAAAGAAAAATGTTTTCTTTATTTTGACATATTTTGGAAATTCTTACATTTTTTTCAAAGCAATCGTATTGCTTGAACTGCATAGAGACGAAATGTCAAAGCGCGTAAGTGCCGCGCCGCCGTCTAATGCATAAGCATTGGTACGGAACCCATAGAAATATAAAAAAAAAATATATTTATTGTTAAAATATCTGATAATTTGATGTGCATATGTCTAATGATCATTTTTAACCGCCAGATGCATTTTTTTACTTTTTTCATTAGATCTCCGAAACCGCTAGACCTGCATTCATGAAAATTTGATCAATTCTTCATCTTGTCAATACAAGTAAAATGTTTTTTGAATTATTCAAATCGGACTCTCCGTTCTCTTAAAAACTGAGTTACCGTTTTCGGCAACTTGATGTACATATATCCAATAAACATTTTTGACCGCCAAATGACATTTTTTTAACTTATTTTTATCGAAAGTCCATAACCGCTGGACCTGCCTTCCCAAAAATTTGATCAGTTCTTCATCTTGTCAATACAAGTAAAATATTTTTTGAATTATTAAAATCGAACGCTCCGTACTCTTAAGAACTGAAACGCCGTTTTTGGCACTTTTTGCCCCGTATCTTCGGAACGGCTAAAACTGCTCCGTCAAAAATAAATCAGAACGTATTCTTAACAATACGAATCGAATGTTTTTTGAATTATTCAAATGGATTGATCAGTGTTCCCGAAATCGTCGACGAAAATTTGTATCCGCGCACACACACACAAATACATCCATTTTTTCTTATTTTAAGGTATGACAAGATATTCAGAAACCTTTGAAACTCTAATTGAAATCGAAATTTTTATTTTCGATGTTTTTACGATTACTTTAACTTACCCTCCGGGAAGTTAACTAGTTAATTTATTTTATAGAATTACAGATAAGTTTGTTTAAAAGGCATCAAGTTAAAATTCCTGTTTATTAAGTTGATTATGTATAAGTATCGGAAAATTCATGCAACTTGCCTGAAGGCGAAATGATACTTACAACTAGTTTTTAAAAAGGTTCCAAAATCTTAGAACCTAAATAGATTTGATCGTAATTTTATTTTACTTTATAGAAGTTTGAATATTACTCTCTAATTGCCTGCAAAAAGCAGCGTTTAAAGTAACCGTTTGTTGCATTACATCAGGCAACATACATGGAGTAAACAAGAATGACATTAGATTCCAATATAATGTCAGTGGTATGAAATTTCTGAAGAAGTGCTTAATCTTGTTTCAAAGTTCTAGGTTATGATTAAAATATGTTAAGTGGTGTAAAACACATATTTTTAGTCCTTTCAGGTAAAGGAGGTGTAGGAAAATCTACCGTCAGCACTCAACTTGCTTTAACTCTTAAAGAGCAAGGTTATAAGGTATATTTGTTTACAACAATCTTGTATTATAAGTGCATATAGTTGCCAGACGATATTATCTCTATATCTATATTTTGTAATAGCATTAAATTCTTCTTTAGGTAGGTATTCTGGATATAGATTTATGCGGCCCAAGTGTTCCTTTTTTGTTAAATATCGAAGATGCAGAGGTATGTCAGTGTCCTGAAGGCTGGTTACCAGTGTATACGGATGAAAATAAAAATCTTGCAGTAATGTCCATAGCGTAAGTTACTTATGTAACAGGATCTAAATATTATTTAAAATATTGAAACATGATTTGAAATTGCATTTTCATAGAAAATAAAATAATGTATCTTTTTCAGATTTCTGCTAAAATCTAGAAATGATTCCATAGTATGGCGAGGACCAAAGAAAACTAGCATGATTCGTCAATTTATAAATGATGTATATTGGAATGAAATTGACTATTTAATAATTGATACCCCACCAGGTAAATATCTCATTTTTAAATACATTGCATAACATAGTTTATTTACTTATTTATTTATTCAACGCCAAAGGCAATAATACAATATAATTACATTTTAAAGTGTACAAATTATAAATTAAAGATAATATATGATGAAATTCCAGTATTAAGAGTTCATAGATAGCTTTGTATATATTCATAACGCTTAATATAAACTACAAATATATAATATTAAATAAAAACTAATAATATTAAATATTTAATAAATTATAAATCACTACTTAAGACGGCCATTTAAGGATAATTTTTCTGGCTTGATTTTTTATATTTGTCACCGACAGACCAAAGAAACCAATCTCAGAAGCAAATTCATTTATTATTTTTGATATTCTGAACATGGGTGCACGTGAAACAAATTTGATTTTAACTGTAGGTATTTCCGAAGTTCTGTTATTAATTAACTTAACATTTGGAACGATAAATTTGAAGCGGCTAAAGCACCTTTCACAATAATTGCTCCATAGCAGAAGGTGAGATATTTTCTTCTAGCATCGAGTGGCGTAATGTTAAAATGGTTGTACATTTGGGACCGACTTATCTGAATATTGTTCTTGTATTTGCGGAACTTTACATGATTGACAAATTTTTTCTGGGCAGATTCAATACTGTCAATTTGATATTGGTAAATCGGGTCCCAAATTATACACCCATACTCTATATATATATTGGTCTAACTAAGTAATAGATGTAAACTAATAGTTGTTTGTTTTTATAGGAACTTCTGATGAGCATATTACAGTTATGGAGTGCTTAAAAGAGGTAGATTTTGATGGGGCAGTCATTGTAACTTCACCTCAAGAAATTTCATTAGAAGATGTCAGAAAAGAAATAACATTTTGCAAGAAAACTGGCATTAAGATATTAGGAGTCATAGAAAATTTGAGCGGGTAAATATTAAAAGCATTAGGATTAGTGACAAATAATGCACATGCAAATTTATCGTTTTACCATATTATTTATTTTAATTCTTGCAAGCTTAAAATTCATTCGTTATAAGTAAAGTGCTAAAATTATTAGATGTACAACTTTGCTTCCGCCGTTTTGCAAGAGATGGCTGTAGCGGTAAATGGTAGTAAAAGTCAAAATAAAGATATCGTAAATGTCATACAATAAGCTTATTTATTTGTAAACATAATTCTATAAAAATATTAATCGATTTGTATCTACCTGATAAACTTGTTCTCGTTTAAACATGTCAACTTACGAGCCAAATTCTCGCCATTTGCGAGAGGTTTTAATTTTCTGCTTTAATATGAAGAAATCTGCTGCTGAGGCTCATCGAATGCTCTCAAAAACCTATGGTGAGGCTACTATTAGCAAAAGAACCTGCCGAGAGTGGTTTCAACGCTTCAAAAACGGTGATTTTGAGGTTGATGACCAACATGGCGGAGGAAGAAAAAGGGTTTTTGAAGATGCAGAAATGGAGGCTTAACCAAGAGTCTTGTCAAACACAACATCAATTGGCAAGATTGTTGGGTGTGACGCAACAAGCTATTTCAAAACGCCTGAAAGTCATGGGAATGATGCAGAAACAAGGAAATTGGGTGCCACAAGAAGAAGAAATTGAAGACAAGGAATATTGAACGGCATGCGTTTGCTTGTGAAGAGCTTGCAAGGTACTTGCAATGTGACTGGGGAAACATAAAAATTGGTTTATCACAATAATATCAATCACAGAAACACAACATGGAAATATCCTGGCTATGCTTTTTGCTGATGGCTAAACTGAATACTCAAGGTTTCAAGGTGCAGTATGTTAACTGTTATGAGGTGTTAAATTGCCACGACACAATGAGAGACATGATAAAATGTTATATTACAACTTGACAATACTGTCTCCATGTTATAAAAGTGGTCAATACTTGAAATGGGAAGTCATCAAGCTACGCTAGCAAATCCTCACTGCTTCCTTGGACTATGTCCTATTTTGATCAATGGCACACATCTATCTTTATGCGAAAAAGGCCCAAGTTCAAAAAAAAAAGATAGAGGAAGCAAAGCTATACACCTAATAAAGAAATAATTATAATTCAAATCTAAGAATAGCTATATTAATAAGCATCTACACATTATTCTTTCAAACAAAATTAACATTGAAATTGATGATAATATTTATTTATAAAATTAATCTCACTTCAAAAAGTTTGAAATAAAAATATATAAAACGTATGATAACTTACTTAACATATGATATCGATTAACTATTTTATGCAAAAGTTTCTAATTTCTAAATTTATTATTTAATTTTTGTCATTTTTGTTATGTGATTGTTGAATTTTTAAAAAAATCAATTTATTACAAACTTAATTTCACCCTCAAAAATGGTTTTAGTTCCACAGTATCATCTTTAATTCATTAAAAAGAAGTCTAATAGAAAAAATATTATATACAAATGTTATTCTATATTTTCTCGAATATAACAAATTCAAAACAATTTAAATGTAAACCTATTATTATAGATTTCTATATAATTTTTTGTGGAATTTGAAATTTATTATTTTTTTTATTATTGGCTTGCGCTTATGTACATTATAATTTTTTTTGTAGTTAAGCAAGTAGCCACCTATAAATTTTATTTGCTTTTTTTAGTTATGAATGCCCAAATTGCAGTGAATGCACAAATATATTCAGCTCAGGTGGAGGTGCAGCTCTCGCTGAATTAGCATCAGTTCCTTTTTTGGGCACCTTGCCTATTGAGCCAAGATTATCTTTTGAAGAAAATAGAGGAAAATCTGTACTTTCATGTTTGCCCGATTCTACATCGTGTAAAGCATTTTCAAGTATAGTACAGAAACTTACCAATTAAATCATTTGTATTTTTCTAAAGTTGTAAGTAATTTTTATAATACACTTTTGATTTATTCTTCATCAAAATATTTTGCTATATTCTGTGCTAGTTCCAAATCCCAAGGTGTATCAATTTCTAAACTATATTTTGCTGGAATTTCTACCACAGAGCAACTGAATTTTTATTATTAGAGAAAAAAATAATGACTATTAAAATTATTATATCATCATCATCAAATTTCATCATCATTTCTTTTTATTACCTATCATCTTGTAGAAGGTTCTTTTCAATCAATTTGCGTGAGGCTAAATAAAACATTCCGTTCTCTATTAATTCTCCATTCCAATTTTGACGCCTAGGTCTACTCTCTGGATTAAAATTTTCTGATGTTATTTTATTACCTTCCTCCTTCCATCGTAATTTAAAAGACCTAATACAAATATTCATATTATTTCCATATTCATGGAAAATCCCAATTTTAAAAATTATTTACTTAATTATTATGCATTTAAATAACCCTTACTATTGAAAATTAATTAATATGTTTATAACTAAATACTATTATACTTTAATTTTGTACCTAGTAACACTGAAAACACACTGGGTATTGGTACTTGAAAAAGTTAATTGAGATATTGCTTCTAAAATATAATCTGTCTTGAGAAAGGGTGTAGTACATTGCACTAACATTAAATAATCTACATTTAAATGATGCTTAATAAATTCTTGTATTGCGGATATAGAAGTAGATGCATCAGTTGCATATTCTGGATCTCTCCAAAACACTTGTGCCCCTGCTGCAATTAAGTATGTTTGGAACACAATATTAATCTAATATAATTTAAGCAGTCATAATAATAATTATTGGCATAGGGATTTAGATAATTGTTTTATTTAGCTAATCTTTTAAATCTTCATTCAATTTCACAATTTAGGAATAATTAATTAGCAAACCTTCATTGGCTTCTTTAGCAATCAATGGATGGTCAGTTGAAACCCATATTGCTTGGATTTTTCCCTCTTTAGCAATGGTGTAATTTTTTTAACGCTTCGTCTAATAAGTGTAACATTATTAATTTTTTGCAAATTTTTCAAAGGTATTCCTTTTGAACCTCCTCTTGCTAGTATCAGAACAGCAATGTTCGGATGAGGTGCAATTAAACTAATAAAAAGTAGATATATATATATATATATAATTCAACTTTAATAATTTTATCTTTATGCATACCCATAAACATAACAGAATATAGATAAACCAAATAGTATAAAAAACATATATTTCATATTCATTATTCAACAAATTAAATCTCTATTTCAAACAGTATAATAATTTCATAGAATGAAGTCACATAATTATATTATACAATATACTCTTTCACAAAAAACAACAAATAATCAGTTCCACAATATCAGTGAAGATATAACTCAATACATAAAAACTGAATGTTTCTTGAACACTAAATTAAATAATAGAGGAAGTACCTCTGAATGAGATAACATGTACATTCAGAGCTGTAAGTTTTCTCAGAAAACTTTTCTCATTTAATAACAAACAAAAATAACATAATGATAATTGTTAAGAATATTTATGAAAATGATTTTTCAATATGTTAAAATTTTCGATACACAAACCACATTCAGTACATATTACATATTTTCCTTGTGCAAAAATTTTTTTATGATCCAACATATGTTTGCAATAATTAGTGCGGTTTTCAAATCCTGTCTGACATGCATGGCATTCATATTTAAAATGAGTCAAATTCATATTATTTTCTTGAATTTGAGAATTATAAACCATCATGCCAGGATCACCTCCAATGAATGTTTTTTGGAAGTGTTCTTCCAACATTTTTTCTTCTGATGTCTTTACCCTCTGGTTTTCATTTATTCCACTACAAGAAATGTAATGTGCTTGTAATGCAATATTATTCAGAAATTCATCACCACATATTTGACAAAAAAGTTTGTATTTGTATGCATATGAAAATTCATATGGTCGCTTGTTAACATTGTATGATGCCCAAAAATTTGCATTTTGGCTATTCATATATTCCGCACTCCAAGTAGATTTACAAATAGCCTTATTTGTTGAATTAGATGTATTAGTTGTATGATAAAAATTATTATTAAAGCTTTCTTGATTGATCTGTACATCAATTTCTCTTATAACTAAATTCAAAGGCATCTCATCATTGCCATTCATATATTTGTCAGCATTATCATTAAATTGTTCAATTTCTGAACTACTTTCTGTTTCAGATGGAAAGTACTTATTCATATTGTCTTCCCAATAAGGATTTCTAGTTTCAGCATTTTGCTCTTCCTCAAAAAATTCAACAATGAAGTCTTTTACATCATTTGTTAAGCCCATAGAAATGCTATCGAGATTTGAATCATCATTCAAATTATTTACTAGGTGCTCTGGTGCAATGTTCCTCAAATCGCTAATTAAATCATTAGATTCAATGAATGTCTTATTTAATAAATCATTGCCAAGGTTATCTTGCAAATGGTAAGGATTTTCAATACAGCCTTCTGATGATTGTTGATGATTGTTATTATTAAACTCGTATCCTTCATTTTTATCAGTAAATGGTGTTTGATTCTGATTTTGTTTTGTAAGGATATTTTGATAATTGAGTGCATTATTTGATGTAAAATCAGCTTGAACAACTGGAATTTCTTTTACAACTTGCAATCCATCAACATAATTCTGGTAAGCCTTATTCCAAGTAACATCTTCTTTTGCTTTTACTTCTTGATTATTGGCTTGTGGAATAATAAGTTTCATTTTGGCGGGATTTATTACATTAATTTGGTTTCTCTTTCTGACTGAACCTTTTGCCACCAATACGGATTCCAATATTGAATCCTTTGTTGTTGTTGCACATTTCTTGTTCTGGGAGCAACGACTAACTTTTTCTCTCCTATTAGTTGATGATACAGTTGTTCTTTTTCGAATGGCATCAGTCGGTGTTTTAGTTGTTTCACTGGCTTTACTTATTTTTACATTTGCAGGCTTAGTAGGCTTTTTGCGTAGTGATCGCTTCAAGGGAGTGTTGATTGTTGATGTTAATTGTGGTTGCTGAATTGGCTTGGTTTCATCGACTTCTTTTTCAGGTCCAATATTTTGCACTCCATCTGCTATTTCATTGGCATCTAACATATGAATTTTAGATTTAATTTTTGATTAAAATTAATTTACATACTAAATCATTTACACACTAGGCCTATAAATAATAATGACCAATTTACATATACTATATATATACCAGATGGTGCAGTAGTTATAAGAAATGATATCAGACGTGCAATAACTGAATTCTGTAAAAGTTTTCTAGAAGCAAAAAATATTTTGATTGATTTACCTAACAATTTCAGGTTCACTTAATATCCACATACTATACCAACAATTTTTTGGCTATTTTATGACTTTATAAAATAACATACTACAAGTTAAAGAGATTATACAATAGCTTATACACACAACACACTGAAACTAACATAATTTAATAATTTATATTTATTTAATTGACTAAATTTCAAGTTATTAAAATTAATGCAGGCTACTGACATTGCATTTCTTCAGAACATGTTAGTACTTGGTATTATATTTCTCATACGATGATTAATATTATAATACATATAAAAAGATAAAGAAAATTGAAATACTATTTTAGTCAGGTCTGCTGGGTATGTGTGCATAAACTATTTCCCAAGATCTATTTGATGATTTCTTTGGTGCTATAAGAGCATCTGATTACAATTGCACAAACAAAAATATATAAAGATTTGATCCTCTAACTCTAGTTTGGTTGCCGTTACTTGATATATTTTCATCTTGAAATCAAATAGTTGAATATGTATATATATATATATATATATATACATATACATATATATATATATATATATATATATATTCTATAATAGCACCTATATTAATATTCTAAGCATAATGTAAATCAGTCATAATTTTCATATACCACAAATAAAGTTATAACAAAATAAATAAAATACCATTAGTTATTGTACATTGTTTTTTAGCTGCTTCAGTTTTATCATTCTTTCGAGGTCTTGGATTCTTCTTACGTCTGCCTTCAGTTTTATTTGAAGATTGCAATACTTTATCAATAGCTGTGACACAATCTTTTAATTCTTGTTGCAAAGCAGAAGCACTAGTTTTAGATTTTTTTCTGTTAGAATTATTGTTGATTTTGTCATCTTTCGTCAAATTTTCTACAACTAATGAAATTATGTTACAATCATATTATACTACACATTAACTAAATCACAATTAACTAACCATTTTCAATCTTGGATTCTCTGCGCGACAATATTGCTAAAGATAACTGATCAATCGAATGACATGTCGTTTGATGCAAATGCATTTCAGACATGCTATTTGCACGTTCATCACAAATAATGCATTTAATGAAATCCGTCATTCCTGAAATATGTACACACAAAACACAAGCATATAAACACAATTAATTAGGCAATTGCCCTAAATCAGAACCCTTTCGTTGAACAAGAAAACTTCGAACGCGTGCCGGACTTGATCTCCGCTTCTCAATCAAATCAAAACAATAGGTAACCCTTTTCTTGGGATCAAATTCAATGTTTAGTTTTTCACTTAATTAGGTTGCACAATTGAAGTCAAAATCGGTCACGCATAAAATTTAAATTGAGCAACGCTAATCTAAAGGATTAATAAAAAATAATAATTAACATGCGGATGATAACCCTATTAAATTATTTAGCAACCTTATGTGCGATTTCAGTTCATTTCAATTTTAAGTTCAATGTATATTATTTAAAAAATAAATAATCATATATCGAATTCAATGTTGCAAAATTATAACTGAGCTGAATTTAATATTATTGCATTAAATTGATTTTTTAAATTGTATATTTATTATCCTAATTACTGCAAATACGTTCATAACCATGATCGAATAATGAATATAATTTAATTATCGCGCTAATTTTAAAAATATATAACCATATTATTC